TTATAGCTTTGTTCTTCTTTTACCATTTTGCTTGTTCTCCCCTTCTTTATCTTGCTCTTTATTTGTGGCACGGGGCCCTCTTAAAGTACTGCAAGGCTTCAAATGGTTTGAGGAACCCAATTATATTGCCAGTAGTAAATGAATTTCAATTCCTAGCCCTAATGATGCCAGGTGCTATTCCATAGTGGTACAATATCCCATTTCCTTTTTCTCAAGCATGATTTGGCCTTGCTGGGAATTTTTCTGTTTGCATGAAAAATGCTGACATAGGCTTTTTGTTGGATTTAAACAAATGCAAAAAAATCCTAAATAGTTTCAATAGCTTCAAAGGCACAAAAGTAGTCCTCTCAATTGTTAATTAATACATTTTGGTTTCCCAAAAACAGTCTATAATCATTTAAATCCTTGAAAAAAATTCATGTTTTGAAATTTATGAACATTAATTTGACATTGGTGCACCCAAAGTTGTATTACAATAACTAAGTGACTGTACTGTCTAGTTCCAAATGTTCCATCTTTACAGAATATAGAAACCTCCGAAGTAACATTACAGAAATGGCAGAAGCAATACATATGATATGTGCTATAGTTTGGCATGCACTTATGATCACAGGAAGCTGTTTTTCATTTCTGTTATATCCCTTGATGGCAGGGACATGGAACAGAAAAGACAAAATGTAATGCTGAAGTTTGTAAGATTGGATTCCTTACTACTGTATGGGGGGAATGTATCTAGTTAACTATCAAATACTCAGAAGAGTTCTCCAAAAGTGCTAAATTGGGATACACAAATATATATGCACAATGATAATTAGCATAAAATTGGGAAGACAAAAAAATCCTGAAATGCCATGTATTTAATTCCATGTGCGCTTTGAAAAAATAACAAATGTAATATTTTCAATTTCCTTCCCTTTCTGTTCTTATTTCAAGACTTTTTCTTTTGACAAGATCAATCAGAAAGGAAGGAAAGAAAGTAGATATTTATATGATTATTTTCAGACTTTTGTCATTCAAATGTACTATGCAGAGCAAAAGGAGAATTATATTCAACTAATTCTGACTCTTTGATCCAAAATGTCCTTGGCATCAGTTTTATTTTCTGTCAGCTAGTGGAAGTTAACAGTAAGTTGAAATGATGCTAAGCATCAGACATTTTACTTTGAGATCAAACATGTTGCCATAAGAATGAATTGAATTTGCCAACTTTGTAAGAAGTGACACAAGACACATGAATGAAGCAGCAACACTTTTTAACTGGTAAAAGTTCACAAATAAACAGTTTTCAGTAGAGATGGTTAAAAATGACCAATGTATGAATACAATCAATGAATTAGAAGTTTTGAAAATATAATTGTTTGTATGATATAAATATTATCGCAATCTGAGATGGACTCTATCTTATCTTATTAGCTGGACTATAATGATTTGATAGATAACACTGGGTAAAATCAGAGGTAATTCATGTTTTCTCCAGGCAAGATGAAAGTAATTGAATTCCTGTTTATGAATAAACAATAATCAGGCTATCTTGCCTCTTCAAATTCAGATATATTAACTCCAGCTTTTTTTTTTGTTTTTTTAAGCAGAATATATTGAAAAAGAAGTTGTCTTATTTAAATGAAATGTCAAATGTCACAGGAAAAATCCAGAAAGTTAGATTCACTGTTTTTCCAAAGGCCCTAAATTAATTTGGACCCCTATTAAATAATAAATTAGCAAGTATATTTTAGACCCATTTACAGCAAATAAAAACTTCTTAATATAAGTTTTCTAGTAACCAGCAATTTCTTAGAACCTTTAAATAAACGTAGATAACAATGAATATTCTCTTTAGTTGCAATGCAGAACCTCCAACAGCATCTGCTGAAATTCAATACCTAGGAATGTGGATGTCATGTCATATACTTAAATATGTTTGTTTTTATATTCTGACCAAAAATACGTAAAATAAACAATGAGTTTCTCTTAGAACAGTTGTTTGTGAACTTTATGAAGCTGATTACTGCAAGAATGCAGTAAGATCTAAACATTAATAATAGCCAATATTTTAGCAATGTCATGCAATTCCAGATTTTTTTCAGAGATTTTAGGCAGATCTATAAACTATTATGCTGTAAGTTAATTTGTGTAAATTAGCAAGTATACATACATTCTATTGCAAAAGAGATCAAAATTTTAATCCTAAACACACATAAGGATTAGATCTCACTCAATATAGTGAATCTTATTTCTGAATTAACAAGATTACATCATTAGCTTACAATCCTATGCAGTTCCCTTAAGGTATGTAACATTTAAGTTCACTTGGCTTACTTCTGAGTAGAGATGTACAGGGATATGTTATTACACATGTATTTCATTATCTAATTTAAATAAAAAATAATGCTGATACCATTATATTTTCTCTGAAAACAATGACAAAATATAAAACGGGCATTCTAAAATGGGCATTAGCAATTGAAAAAGCTCGTTTATCATTTTTCTTATAAGAATAATCAGAAATAAAATAGTTTTTATTCATTTATACTTTGTGTCATTTTAAAAATCAGAAATATATACAAAGTTTTTATCTAAGCCCTTTATATTTTTATAAAATTGTTTTAAGTAATTTGCTACAGGTAAAGTACAATAGGTTATTTGTAAATTATTGACTCAGAAATTGTTTATTTCACTTTAGCATACTGACTCTAAGATTAGAATATATTTTAAACTCGTTTTATTTTGAAAGGAAACTCACACTTTAGCACATTTGAGAACAATATACAATAAGTGCACAAACACAGAGACACATACACACATGATTTTAATATTGGCAACTCAATCTTTAAAAATATGATTTTAGGATTTATCAAATACATACTGCATTACTGTGGTGTAACATTTCAATTATTTGTAAGTTTGCATTGCAGAGAACTGCCAATATTTTCCTTGGTGTTTTTGCACTAAATTTTAAAAAATCATAACTACTGTTACTATCTACTTATTCAACTTCTAGTATTGATGCATCAAAAACTGTGGAATAAATAAACTATTACAATATAATGATTATACCCAAAACAAAATGCACTGGACTGTTCCTTTTTTTTTCTATCTTATAAAATGGGTCTATCTCAATATATTACGCAAAACTGTAGTTTCTTGTTAACAAAAGAAAATATTTGCAAATGGAGTTACTGCTTAATATGTGGAGAGTATATTTTTATCATTATAAATAGGTTAAATATCAGAATAAAATAAAACACACTGCAGGATACGATAATTGCTATAAATATCACTAATTAAAAATCATAATTTGCAAATTGAAAAGTAATTTCAATCCATGAAAGTATATTTTGAAATCATTTTGCTGTATAGTAGTGTAATTTAATTAACATTGTACCAGCTTCGACTAAATGGCATATTTTAGAACCTGCAATTCACAGATCAGGACAAGCCTGTTTTAGCTTACTCTGGATCAACTGGCATGCCTTTTTTAAAAGAAGGAAACATTTATTTCATAGCAATCTATGTAGAACTCTGCAATGTTAGCTTTTTCTAAGACATTGACACTAGAAAAGCTCTTGCTCCACTAAGCAACACCTTAACATTTAAATATTTATACTATGATTTTAGCTAAACTATACATTATAAAATTCTTGTTAAAAAAAGAACAGAAATGTCAAAGGTGTTCTGACAGAGTTAAATACAATTCTTTTTTAAATCAGCAATGCTGAATTAATGCAGTTTAAATACCTCCCCACCTAGCATGGAAATACTTGGAAATTCCTTCACTATTTCAATTGCCTGTTGATTTTAAATTTTACACTTGTTTTTAACTTTATTCCTGAAGCATTCTCAATATTTTATCCCAGAGACACATTTTCTTTTGCGATTATCAATGATGACCTAATCACAATGAAAATACTTCTGATTATAGCATGTTATCAAAATGCTCATATTATAAATATGAAAAAACACCAGTTTACTTTCTTTGCAGATTGTACCTTTTAAAGCGTGTGTGTTTTAAGCAATTGAGAAGCCTAAGAACCACACTAATGTCAACTTTACTCTCTAGTTAATGGTCCACTGAAGTGTCAAAGAGCATGTTAAAACAATTTGATAGATAGTCATCATTTATCCAAATCAGTGTCAAAGCAATGAAGCATCATCCTTCAAGGGTCTTCCTCCCCCTGCAGACAGTGCAGTGTTGGAACTTTGGCACTGCTTGCTCTTTCTCAAACTTTAAAGTAAACTATAAAAGCATGCCATGTTTTGACACCCATGTCCTTTAACACTAGATGAAGATCTGATAACATAATAGGCATTTGAAAACAATTTTGCCGGACCAAGCTATAGCTTTTCTTATCCAGACTGAATTGTTCACACACAAGACAGTGCTGAGATAATTGATGGCAAAACACAAGGGGTTAGTTTTCTAGAAAAAAAACAGGGACTTTTTAGAGCAACAAAGTAAAAAAAAAGAAAAGAAAGGTGGCAGCACCTCAATGCAAAGAAATACTGCTGCTTCTTTCTTTTCTTGGTCAGAGAAACATTTACAGAAGCCCTTTAACTTTTCATTTTACCTTTCCAGAAACTGCTGCTTTGCAAAATACTCCATTTTAGATGCTAAAACGTAGTTAAAATATATATATAAAAATTAAAGCCTATGAAATGCAAATAAACATACAGAAAAGGAAACAGCTTTTCATGTATACTGCATGATATTTTATTTAATAAAAAGCATTACTGCATTTACATCTAATGACCAAATTATTTAAATATACTAGAGGAATAAGGTTGGAAGGTGAAACGTGCTTGAAGTTGTGGTATTTTTTTTAAAAAAATGCAAAGCCAAATGTGTATGCATACACAATATATCTGCATAAAAATCGATTTGGGGAAAATACACCTTGTTTTAATTTTCCCTGTTCTCTTTTGGGTAGTATTTTTCTCCTGTTTTTGGCATGCAATTTTTTAAAGAGAGCAAATAAGTGCAACAAAACAATAGCAGGACCTACATTGAGCACTGTGCCGGTGTTGCCACTCTGTTTGTGTCAATCCAGTGAAGCAGGCTTTCAGAGCCTTCTCCTGGAGCATGCAGGAAGATGGACTTGCTGTGTAGAAATCCAGCATTTGACCAGGGCTGACTGCTAGGGCATCCATGCAGTCAAACATGATTCCCTCTTCAGTAGGTCTGCAAAAGTGCCTTCCTCTAGGTGTGGGGGAAAATGACATATAAAAGTACATCCAACTCCATCAAACTCTGCCCCTTTTTTGGCACGAAAACTGTTGGTCTTTTTCCCAGACCAGAATCATGAATTATGACAGACAACACATCTAAAAGCCTGTAATTGATCCAAATGATCATTTACCATTTTCCAGGCTGCTCAGCCAATCCAGTCGAATGAAGGGAGGAGGGGAAAACAAGAAGTATTCCAAATTCTATTTCCCATTAATCTGTTGCCCCAAATCTTTCAGAAGCCTTCGAACTACTTTGCCTTGTTCTGAAGCGAAGATATTTTTTTTGCTTCCCGTGCAGCCTTGAAGTTTTGCGGACGAAACAGGCTTTGAAATCAGCTTGAGATCCCCCTTTGCTGCTGAATAGATCCTTCTGCTTTCGAACGGCTCACTTCCTACTACTTGTGTCACAGAGAATGAAAGATTGAATTGCTTAATATATGCGAGTGAACTTTCAATGAACCCTTCCCAGGCTGCTAACCTTCAAATGACCCAATCCGTCTGACATCACCAACTCCCAGGATTCTCACACAGCTTAAAAACTCCCAACAGCCTTACAGAATAAAGCAGGGAAGGCAAGGTAGCAGGCAAGTGCTCGCTCCCGTACTGAAGCAACTTCCCTTTAAAAATAAAATTAAAAAATGCAACGATATAAAACAGGCATAAGATCTGCCTTGCAAAACTGTCTTTTGCAAACATTCTTTTCCCAAGTTCTTTTCCTATAAAGGCAAGGTTCTGCTTTTAAACTGTCTTACATGCTCCATTCTGTACACCTACGTGTCTCCTATTAGACTGTCCACTGGGGAAACCAAAATGCATTTACATCATAGCCAAAATAGAAATCAGTTTCCTGGCTGAAAACAGAGAAAGCAAACGGTGGCCAGAACAGAGTGAAATGAAAAATGGAGTGGAGAATGCATTTACAAAGCACTGGGACTTGCAAACTTAGAACAGAATTAGAGGCATTTCTGATTTCGCTCTGGCTGCTTCGTGTTTCTCTGCTTTTGTTGTATAACCAGCAATATACTGTGAAAGAGATCCCTTTGTCCAATTGGCAGTTGGGGTAATGCTGACAGTAATGTCTTTCTTCCCCATGTAAAAACAATTGCCTCTGTTTATTAAAGACACATTCTATCACCTTCATGAAAATTCATGGCAATTCTTTGTCAGTCTTTTTATTAAAAGTTTTGCAGAGTAAGCCAAGAATTTGAGTCTAGTGGTAAAGACACAAGACAGAAACCAGGAGACCTTGATCAGGTAGTCATGAGGAGTCAACTCTGACTTGAAGGCTCAATAAAATAACATGTACCAGAGTCCCTTTGGTGAAATTAATGTGAAGCAAAACTAAAAACACACTGATGCGTTTTTAGACACCTGCAAATTCTCATTAATTATGTTTTTATCAATTTACACTAAATTGCAGGTTAGGTTATTTTCTGCTAGCTAGCAATTCCTTGTGAAACATTTTCACAATTTGTACTTTTCTTCATTTGCTATTGACAAAATGTTAATATAGGCAGAATGCATAATTGGATTTTCTGCACGGAACCTTGCTACAAAGAGATCAGCTTGGACATTCCTACTCTTTACCCATGATGCCTCTGATAAGTGGTAGCCCTTCCACTTGATTAAATATTGGAATTGTCTCCTGTGCCACTTCGAATCGAGGATTCGCTGCACTTCATAATGGGTTTGGCCTCCTTTGACCACAGGATCTGGGGGCTCACGAGGCAGGAGCCTCAGTATTGATCCGACCGCGGGTTTTAATAGGTTACTATGGAATACCGGGTGTATTTTCCCTAACAATTGGGGCAATTTCAATTGCACCATGACTGGGTTGATGATCTTTATTATGGGGAATGGTCCCATGAACTTTGACGCCAATTTCTTGCTAGGGAGTCTTAACCCCAGATATTTGGTATAGAGAAAGACCTTCTCCCCCAATTGGAATGGTTGTTGTGGAGCTTGGTGTTTGTCTGCCAGTCTCTTATAGGTCTGTGCTGCTTTTGCCAGTGCTTGTTTGACATTCACCCAAGTTGCTTTCAGCGTTGATATCCAATTGGTCAGGCTGACTGAGGAGGGGAGTCCCTTGGATACTCAGGCATTGGGACAAAGTCCATGCCACTCACCACCTTGAAGGGGGTTAGTTCTGTGTTACTGTGAACATCTGAGAAAGGCAGGAGGTCCACCCAACTGGACTGCTGATAATTAACATAGCACCTCAGATACTGCTCTACCATGCCCCTCCATTGGTGCTCGGATGAAAGGCCGAGCTAAGACCCTGGGATAACCCAATAGACCTCAGGAATTCCCTCCAAAATTTGGCTGTGAATTGGACCACTCTGTCTGAGATAATTCTCCGTGGTACTCCATGCAGGCGGTAGATGTGCTTCAGGAATAGCTTGGCTAACTGGTGGGTTAAGGGTAGTCCGCTGCAAGGTATGAAATGCGTCTGTTTGGAAAATGTCTATTATAGTCCAGATCACTGTGTGTTCCCCCACTTTTCGGCAACTCCACTATGAAATCCATTGAAATCTCCTCCCATGGCCTTGTTGGCTCCGCTACTGTTTGTAGCAGTCCAGGGGGTTTTCCTGGTCATTTTTTCATTGTGGTACAGATGGTGCAATTTTTCACATAACTGTCCACATCTTTCTTTATGCCAGGCCACCAGAACTGCCTCTGAGCCAAGTGTAAAGTCTTTAAGAACCCAAAGTGGCCTGCCAGTTTGGCGTCGTGGCTCCTCTGCCTCAACATCAAGAAAACTGAGTACTTTGGACTTCTGGCTTGTGGCGCTTCGGTGCAGGCAGGAATCCGTGACTGTGTGTGGTCCCTGCCTGTGTTCACTGCCTGAGTGCCCCGAGCCATTTGGCTTCGGGGCTAAGCCACCTTTGTAGAAGGTGGTGAAGACTGGGGGGTTCTGGCAGGGACGAGAGACATCGCATCTCTCTTCCCTAGCCGGCTAAATCTCCCTCTCCGAAGGCAGCTGAGCGGCGGTCTGTAATGGCCGCCACATAGAAGAGCTCAGCTGGAAAAAGAAAGTGCTGGAGGAGCTTGTGAAGAAGTGAAAGTGATTTTGCTGACCGGGACAAAGGAACAGTGAAAGTATCCTGGTATTTAACACCTATTAAAGACACATTGTTCCCAGACTGAGTAAGCAGCGAATGGATATTAAAGGGAAAACTTTTTTTCTTTTCACTCTCCTTCCAAATAGAACAGCTTTGAGAGAAATCGGAAAACCCGCATTGAAGGTATGCTAAATGCTAAAGACTATGCTAATGCCAAAGGGATATGGATTTCTAAATATTTAAAGAAAAATTTTTCTTTTGCTGTGAGTGGGAAGGGAGAGGAAAAAAATTGAAGTAGAAGTTGAAAATAAGGAGCAGACTGCCTAGAATTTTAAAGAGCCATTTGAACATTAATAAGACTTCAAAAAGACATATTTTAATTGGAATTTTGTGATTTAATAGCAACCCCAGAAAAAGAAATGGAAGAAGGGAAAAAGTGCTAAAAGAAATAGTCTATCTGGATTGTTTGGTGACTTTGGATCTTTTGGGAAATTTTTTTTCTTTGTTTAAAAACACTCGGGTGGTTGTTTTGGGAAAATTTTTTCCTCTTTATAATGGCATCATCCTTGGATGAATCTAAAACTGAATATCCAAAATATAAAAAGGAAGAACAAGACTGGAAAGATACTTTGGACATTATTTTTCAATCTCTAGAAATGGCGGTGCGTTCCTATGGAGAATTGATTGCGCAGCAGGATAATTGGGACAAAGAAGAAACTATTTTTGATGAACATGTGATCGTATTTGGGGAGAAGAAGAAAGAGGAAAAGGAAAAAGGGATTTTAAAACCTAAAAAAACAACCAAAAAAGATAAAAATGAGTTGAAAGGTGGATATAAGGTTAGAAAACAACTGGAAGTGGGAAAGCAGAAGAAGAAAAGGGAGGTGGAGAGACAAAGGGGTAAAAAGGGTAAGGAAAAGAATAAGCAAGGGAGAAAGGAAGGGGTGAGAAGTCTCAACGATGGGAAGCAAGATTTAAAGAAACAAAATTTATTTAGAGACAATAGGTAAATCTAATTGAAAAAAGGGATTCTGTAAGGTACATAAGATTGTGTTATTATAGGCATTTTTAGAATAAAATGTTTAAGATATAAATGAGTATTAATATGTATGATTAAAATGGTTTTGACAGGGGTACTAGCTATATTATATATTTATAAATTTGTTTCTTTGTTATTGTTGTTCTTTCTCTTTTTTTTCTTTTTCTCTCTATATAATATAACTTTAGGATGTGCTAAACAGAATCCCAATACAAGTTATGTGTGATATTAAGTATTATTAGGTTAGGGGAAAGAGTTAAAGGCATCATACTCCAATTAGTGTACAGGAGAGGTTTTGTTTAAAGAGAAAAAATGAATGGATAGTTGAGAACAGACAAAGAATGATAAGTATTATGACTTGAACTGAGATGAGATAAGTAGAATAAAACTAAGAGAGTTAAAAAAAAGGAAGAAGCTATATAGAAAATGGAAAACGGTAATAAGATATGTAATGATATATAAAAGGAACATGATTTTTGAAGTGGTGTCTCTACGATGAGTTTTAACCCGGGATCAAGCAACTTTCAGAAAAGATGTTTTATGTTTTTATGTTTTATGTCTTGTTTGTTTTTGTATTGGAAGAGAATAATGAAAATGTATAAGACAGATGGATATAAAAAATGTATACAATCTAAAGTTAAAGAGATATAATTTGAATAAATAGAAGGAAAGGAAGTAATAAAGAGAAGTTCGGGATAAGATATGAAGATGAACAGATAAGGTAAATATATATATTAAGTTGTGTTTGTATGGAAATGTAATAACTTGGAATAATTCTGTCTTTAAATAAGATGTATTGGTTTTTTTAGAAAAAGATTTCTTATGTCATTATATTTTATGTTTCGTTTGTGTATTGTTTTGTAAAATCAATAAAATTTGTTTTTTTTTAAAAAAAGAAAACTGAGTACTTAGAGACTGTTGCCACCCCTAGAACACTTCAAATCAATGGGAAAAAACTAAAGAAAATGGACATTTTTCGGTATCTGGGATCCCATCTCCAAGGCAATGGCGACATCAAAGGTGAGGTGCAAGCATGGGTCAATGTGGCCTGAATGCATTGGTGAAAACTCACTGGTGTGTTATGTGACAGCCAAATGCCAACCTGTCTTAAATATAAGATTTACAAGACAACCATCTGCCCTGTTGCACTGTATGGCACTGAATGCTGGACAGCAACAACAGGGACGAAAAGC